GTGTGTGTGCGTGTGTGTGTGTGTATGTGCATGTGTGTATTGATCTTCGCACACATTTCTACATATTGCAGTGAGGGATGACCTCATACGCACTGCAGAGCCACAACTGTCGTTTGGGGTATCCCCAGAACCCAAAGACGACATGGGTGGATTCCTACAGCAATTGGATGCGTCGCAAAACACTATGCTTTTCCAGAACGATACTTCCTCATCGGTGGTATGTATATACATGTGTGGGATTGTAAATAATTATATATACATGTAATTTAGACATCTAGTTTGTGTATGAATATGTGTACAGTTATGGCTATGTATGCTAATTTTATGTGTATGTATGGCTATAATAGTAATATATATATATATATATATATATATATATATTAATAACGCGATCACGCATTAATCTGTATATATAATTCAGATCTTATGTTCTAGTCTCAATTCACCCGAGGGTGCAAGAGTATATGCAAGAGTATAGCGACCATGGTATAGGTATATATTCCAAAAATAGTTGCGGCCGATACCGGGATCCCGGACTAATCCATATTCACCGCATATCGATATAGTGACCAGTACATATATATATATATATATATTCTAAAAATAGTTGTCCTTGGATACTGAGATCCCGGTACTTGCCGCTTATCTTCTACAGTCCCAACTCGCCCAAGAGCTGCAACAATATAGCGACCAGTGCATATGTATAAATTCTAAAAATAGTTGATTTTGAATACTGAGATCCCGGTATATCCCGCTTTTCTTCTACAGTCCCAACTCACCCAAGAGCTGCAAGAGTACCGGGACATGGCCAGCAGCTTCATGGCCTTATCTGCGATGTCACCAACCTTTGGTGAGTGTTTTCTCGTCAATATACTTGCATTTTGTCGTACGTGAACTGCCAAAGCACTGGTGAGTGTGTGAACTTGAAGTACTCGGTGTTCCCGCTTAGTACCAACAATCATCGAAATTGTGATATCGGGTTGTTGCGAGTGTTGTGAAATGGTACAAGACTAGATTGTCAGTCAGTTATCAGGTGGCGAACATTA